ATAGAAGCATAATGGGAATGGTCGAGCAATGATGCCAGGTCAAAACCTCCTACGTACAAATTTGGTCAAATTCTTTTCGTTTTTTTTCCCCCTCCAAATCAATACTTTTGGTTGGTTTACATGTATGCTATTGTGTTGTAACTTTGTAATGATCACTAATTGTTGAAGAGGAAATGAAAGACAGCAAAAGCAAGCAAGTCGCCTACAGTACTTTAAAGTTTCGAGCTCCCAAATCCTCCTGCAGCTCACTTGAAAGAATAAACCCCCACCGCTCTTTCAGCCATTTTTTACAGCTCAATCAAAATGAATCACGGCCGATGCACGACAGTCCGCTTATCCAGAGTGTCAAAATTGAAATGGAATGAAAGAAAGTGGAGGATGAGGAGAACCAAAGTATCAGGAGATAGTGACGCAAGTAAATGGGGGCGGGAGTCATTTCTTTTCTTGAATAAAGAAAAAGAAAAAGCACTCGTATAGAAGGCCACAGGTTTTGGTAAAATACTGCATTAGAGGTTCTTGTTGGCTGATTGGTTCATTTGTTCGCTTCCTTGCTCCTTCGTCAAGTCAAGTGCTCACTTTGCCTGCCTGTCTTGGCCTTTTGTGTGGCCATGTCTAGATAAGAGCTACCAGCATGACTGGCTGCTAGTCATTTAGCTATTATGCAGAGAGAGAGAGAGAGAGAGAGAGAGAGAGAGAGAGAGAGAGAGAGAATAAAAAGACCAATTCTCCAGGCAGACAAATGGCCTTTTTTTTCCATTCACATTCTCATTGGCTTCCTCTTTAAATATTTGCCGGGCCTCCTCTCTCACCTGACTGCTCCTCATTCCTCCTCCTTTTACACGCACACTTGACTGTGAGATGCGGCCTAATACCTAAGTGCAGTTGTCTCCTGGAGAGCTATTAAAATGAGATCTTCTCTGCACTAATCCATATTATTGGACGGCACAAGCCTTTCACGCCCTGGGAATAATAACATAGCATTTTTCCTCAAACAGTAGCTTCTGCTTTAATTAATCACCCGGTGCGCTGTGCACTTGAATAAATACCACAACTGAAATGGGCACCCCTTTTTCTTCTTCTCGATAAAACAATAACAGGTGATTCAACAAGGTGGCTGTATACATCTTCACCACCACACTCATGACTTGCAAAGCGTACATGGTACCTGTAAATCTGAAATGATCCATTTCCTATTTTCTGCAGCGATTGTGCTTTGTAGGGTGTACAACCTGCACTGGTTGCCGGCCAATCACACGGCACATACCTTTCTGAAAGTGACATCTAATTCTTGTGAACCGGTTAGTGAGAAGGCCTCTCAGTTTAATACACATTTTTGCAATAAGATATTTACTGAAATGACTTGCATATTGTTATTAATTAATGCTATGATCCCTGAGAGGAGAAACTGTACAGAAAAAAAATGATGCATGGCTATTCTGTGAAGACACTGATCATGAAAAAATAAATGATGCGGTAATAAATATCAAACTGCAACACTTTATGTCCAGGGTTCGACATTAATGGTGGCTGGATGTCAGGGGCTACTTGTGACTGTGTCAGGCCACCCAAAGTTCACCGATGCTTTTCCCGAGCTGATGGAATCAAGGCGTTCTTGTATTTTTAATCTCTAGTTTTCAAAATTGGGATTTTACGCAACTCAATTCAGCAATCATCTTTACTCTTTTGACCCACATTCGATCGCCCCCATTCACTGATACACTTAGTGGTATGTACTGTCGATCGCTTCACCAGTTCATCCACAGGTAGGCCTACATATACTGTGTTAGACATTTAGTTAAGTATTGTTTTAAATCACAATATCTATATACTGGGGAGTGGACAGTGTGGATATTTATTTAAATCGCTGCCTTGATCACCTACCGGTGCTATGTACTCGTATACATTTTGGCCAATAAGACTACACACTTCTCGACTTCATCCACTTTAAGGCTGACATATACAGTACAGTATAATTATGGACTTTGTTAAGTATTGATTTCAATCAGGGCCAGTGCCAGGTCTGGCAGGGCCAACGCAACTTCACTCATGGCGGCCCAAAAGGGCCAGCACCCAAAAAGGCTTAATGTCAAACCCTGTCTATAAATCTCTTCAAGTGTTTACCTTTTCAAAAGATCACTTTGCGAACATCCCGAGCAAATCATAATGCTCCATCACAGATGAGCAATTTTTAGTACAGGCTCACGGCCTGCTCATGTGGTACTTGGGAGCTACCTGATGCTTGCTGGCACCGTGGTGGTGACCACGGATTTAGAGCCAGCAATTAACGCTGCATGCATGTTTTTAGAATGAGAATCAAAGTCACAACCGGGGGAATAAAACACGCAGGAGGGCGGCAGCGGAGATTTCCCTGATTGGGTCATAGCCTTTCTTTAAAAGCAAGACCGCAATATGGTATCATGGCATCATACATATACTGCAACACATTCTGTTTCCATCAATATTAATTATTATTTATTTGTATTCAAAATGCATTTAGACACATAAAGGCTTCCCTTCTTCTCGCTCTACCAAGAAATGTTTGACAATCTCTGCAGTGGAGTAAATAAAAGCTCAGCAACTCAATGAGCAAATACAATACAGTATATGCGCATTCACACACACACCGCTTTGAGTGTTTGTGTATCGGATACTGCATTCATGCGTATGTATGTAAATCCTCAATGCCGTTGATTTTACTCTTCCCATTACATTTCTCTCCTCATGCACTTGTGTGCGCTTTAATATTCTTTGCGGGATATCAAGAGACACACACTCGCTGAAACCTCATTTTCCTCCCCTAATGACATATCAAATGTTTGCATATAGGCCATATCAGTATGGAAATGTGCAAAGCAATACAAGCCAAGCCATGGAATAAAAGAAGCAATCAAAGTGATGCGTGGGTGCATGGATGCGTGCGTGTGTTGTCACCAGCTTGGACGAGCCTGTGTGTCAAACACATGACTTGCGGCACACACACACACACACACACACACACACACACACACACACACACACACACACACGTGCGCAAGCGCGAGTACACGCACACAACCCGGCCTTGTTATCCGGGGGCCTGTCTTGCAGGCAGCCTCTCTAACGCTGAGTGATGTTTAAATTAGTTTACAATTTAGCCTCCTCGCTATCTGCAGACGGCTCTTAACTCAGCGTGCGCGCCTGTCGTGTTGTTGTGTGCGGGCCTTAGTGCATGTGTGAGCGTAACAAATTGTTGCCAGTACGGCAGACATCTAATGACTTCAAATTAGCTGCCTGGCGCTCGCCTTGACACGTTGTTACCACTGTTCCCGGCCTCAGTGTGTGTGTTGCCGTGTGCGTGCGCGCGGGTGGGTTTGCGTGTGTGTGTGTGTGTGTGTGTGTGTGTGTGTGAGCAGCGCAGCGTAACCATATCATGAAGCATAAATTGGCTTCACCTCTCCTCACTCTGCCTCTGTCATTTTTCTCTTTGTCTCTCTCCATCAATTTGATTAAAAAATTACTGTAGCATAGCAAGAAAAGACGTGCGAGCACACGGGTACGTACACGCGTGTGTTCACAAGAAAACCTTGTAAGTGCGCTCACACACATACACAAATGAATAGAATAGAGTGGCATTTATTCTATTGAAAAGAAAAGAATGGACCTGTTAACCTTCTTATCTTACATGAAAGAGGATAACAAATGTTGAAGTCCGGCATTTCGCTCTGACCATCCTTTCCACTCAACACGAGATCACTTTAGAAGTGTGTGTGTGCGCGCGCGTGTGTCGTGTGTTGTGCGTGTGAGTATTAGATCAGTGTTCAGTGTTGTAAACAGAGCTGTGGATTGCCTTTCTCGCTCGTCTAATCACGCCATCTCTCCACCGCCAAGCAATCGTTGCTCTGTGCGCACGCGCACACGCGCGCACACACACACACACACACACACACACACACACACACACACACACACACACACACACACTTTAGCCTGAGGATGGCCCCCTCCCTTACAAGAGGAGGGGCTAAAGCAAAAAGGCAAAGGTGAAAGCCAACACGTGTTGGTGGGAGAAGAATGAAAATGTCAAGTTTTCAAATGCAAAAATAACTTTTCATTGGCCACATTTGGCATGTGGATCAATGATGAGCATGCCTTCTCACTGTGTGCACATCGATCAATACAAACCATGTTTCGCCTCATCTCTGTCTCCCTCTTTCCATTCATTTCTTTGAGTTGATTGATAAAAATAATGCCTATCGCTCCGAGAGCCTTGTCGGGAATGCCATTGACTGCATCGTCATGGATTGAGACAGTTTAGCATCTATTCTGATCTGTGTATCATTACAATGCTTGATGCTGTTTGAACAATCGTTTGTTTAGTTTCTTTTTGTATTCTATGTTTGTCAATATTAGGATTCTTCCATGCTAATCTGTGTTAATCTGAGGCGCATCTTCCCTCCTCACTGCTGTCACAAACCACAACATCCTATTTCATTATTCTCTCTCTTTTTCCAACACCACTTGTTGACTTTTTAATGCATCCATCCTTCGATGTAGGGATGGATGTTTGTCATTCATCCATCCCTATTTTGCTCCATCCCTACCATCCATTCATCCTTACTCACCTCCCTCCGACCCAACCCACTCCACCGACTGATCCATCCATTCATCCATCCATCCATCCATCCCTTTTGTACAGTCCGAAACCTGGTTCACAAGCATGATGGATGGTTGTCCAAATGGTGTCAAGGTGATTTGATTTATTTGTTGAAAAGACCATCATTTCCTTGAACGGAGATGTTGTGTGTGTTGTGAGAGCATTTGGTTGGCCAGTTGGAAGTGGCAAGAGTTCAAACTGTCTGGGTGCGGGGATTAGGGTGAAAGGTCACGGCGGAAGTGCAAGTGCAGCAGCATGTTTAATGTTTAAGTGTGAATAGGAAGCCTTAGGAATATGTGTGTGTGTGTGTGTGTGTGTGTGTGTGTGTGTGTAGTCTCGCAGCGTGCGGTTGGCAGGCTTCTCCTACCTGGGATGTGCTTGGCCCAGCCGATGTTGACCACCAGCTCTCTGTCGGCCAGGTCGCACAATGTAGTCAGGGCCTTGATGTCGCTGTCTGGTACTGTCGGGTCGGGCATGGCATAGATTTTCTCTGGCTCGGCCACCAGCAGGTGAGAGACGATTTTGTTATCTGCAAGGCAGCCAAAGGCAACTGACATGACCACCAGACGAGGAGAAAGACACAGAGACAGAGAGAGAGTGAATACATTTGTTCAGTTTTTTTTTTTTTTTTTTTACACCTGAGCAAGTTGTTTCACACCAATGTGGGCTAACAAATATTGAATATACGGTAATTGAAAGTCACAAGCAAAGACCTCAAAAGCAATGATATAGACATTTGACATTGTACATCTCCATACCGAATCATTCAGATACACAATTTCAGATGTAAATCAAACTGTTTAATAATGCTGCTGATGACTGCAAGAGCATCTGATTAGCCATGAAATGCTCAGGCAAAACACTCATTATTTGCTCAAGTCATTTTTATAGACAGTGTAAAATAGACTATTGAGTTCCCATCATGTGAATTGAATGCAGAACATAACAGAAGGAATCGAGGCAGAAGAAACTACGAAGTTTTACATCATGTGGAATGATAATTTACTTAATTCCAGAACGATTTGATTATTCAAGGTGAATAAATAATAAAAACTGAGTGGATATATTTGATTTAACCATTAATAATAAAAAAAAAAGCTAAATAATGCAACAAATACTACAGTCCTCTTGATGATGTCAATGTTCAAAGGGCTGTATAAAAGCGGCCTGCGAGTTGTCATTTGCCCACCCCTGCTTTCGAGAATGGACATGGGAAACAAAAAAAATAGGCTTTTTTTTTAACAATCATGCACTGAAAAAGGTTTTTGTTGAATTTACTTTCCGGTATATTTTGTTTCTTCAAGTGGTTACACTAAATAAAATCAACTGGATTCAGATAGATTCAATTATTTTATTATTATCACAAATAAACCAATTACAGTAATGTCATACTTTCTAAGTGTCCAGGGTGTGAATGACATCATTGCCTGCCGTTTCATTTGCACCAATCAAAAGCAGCCTTCCTACTTTTGGCTCGACCACTATTTGCGCAATGACAATAAAGTTTTAATCCAGGGATTTAATCATAAAATCAAAAGAGCATCATTATTGTCGAGATGCTCCAAAAGGCCACACAGTGTTGTCTCCCGTTTCTCACCTCAAAGAAGCTCATCGATACACATGTAAGGAGGAGATAATAGTAAAAGCCAAACAGATCAGCCATTAATAGTGACATGTGGTGATGAGATCTCTATGGCCCATTAGCAACACACAGATATCCTTGCTCCCAAATTAATCCTCTGACAAATGAAGCAAGGGAAGAACAACAGAGGAGCGAAAAGCTAAGAGGAGTTAAAACAACTAAGCAGGAGATGAGTGTCATAAAGGGTTTATAAATGTCAGTTTAGACACACGCACTTGTTCTTGTTGCAAACGTGGACACACAAACACACACGTGCGCACAGCTATATCTGCAAGTAAATCGGATTTAATCTTTACCTAATTAGAATCAATGCAAGCCCATTTCCAAACGCGGAGATATTGTCCTCTTCTAACAATCAATGTGGACACTGGCTTGGGTTATACGTTACAGGCTTCGCATACATACATACAGTATATATATATATAGAGAGAGAGAGAGAGAGAGAGAGAGAGAGAGAGAGAGAGAGAGAGAGAGAGAGCGCTTCATGCCACCGAAAGTAGCATTAAGGTGATAGTTTTAAGCGTTTAAGCAACCTACATTTGAACACAAACACTGCTGCAACACATGTTGACACACAATATAACAAGACTCACAAGCATATATTCATCCTCTGCGAAATATGACACTGTTTTGTATCTTACAAATGTCTGTATTACAATGGACGAGGTGCCACACTAGAAGGGGCACGATGCCAATGGACAATGAAGCATGAAATCATGATGCACAAATGGTTTAATTCCATTCATCCATCATCCGAACCGCTTATCCTCACGAGGGTCGCGGGCGTGCTGGAGCCTATCTCGTCTTCAGGCAGTTGGCGGGGTACCCCCCCCCCGAACGGGTTGCCAGCCAATTTCAGATTTTACAAAAGTTATTATATTATTATTTTGGTAAATCAAGACACTACTTTAAAAGAACATTATTTTCAGGACTAAAGATCAAACTTCATCAAGTTTTCAGCCTTCCAACAAGTCAATGGTACTTAGTTTTGGGAAAGATGAAAGGAAGATATAATATCACTGGAGTTTGACAAAAATTGCCCATAAATTGTCAAAACAAAATCTAATCAAGGTAATAAAAATCAGAAGGTGAAAAGTAGTTGGTATTTTGGGGGGGAAGTTGGTCACTGGTTTAGTGGAAGCTACTGTATCTCCAAGAGAGAACAATACCGTGGCTACAATTGCATGATGCTATCATTTCTATGATTAGTGATACCAAAGTCAACCTAAACTGTCGTGCAGCCATTCAGCATATTGGACTAAATCAGAATATGCCCCAGCTTTAAGCAAAATGGGCTTTAGGGAGCAAGCTGCTAAACACTGCTCAATCTGCACTGCGTGTATGCTTTGTGTGTCTGCGTGTGTGTCTGCGTGTGTGTCTGCGTGTGTGTGTGTGTGTGTGTGTGTGCGTGTGTGTGTGTGTGTGTGTGTGAGACCAGACGGTTAGCTAGAGAGCTAACTGGAGTTTGATGTGGTTGCCAGATTGGATTTAATCCGGATTAAAATTCTGGCTGGTCCCTCCCTACCTACCACGCCTCCTCCTCCTCCTCTTCTCCATCTCTGTGAGAAAGCCCATCACTTAGGTTCGCCTCCCCTCCTTTCCTCTCACTGCCTCTTGCTCTTGTTCATTTTCCAATCATCAGGTTTTGGCGAGGAGTGGATTTGACAGTTAAAAAAAAAATACAGCAGATCCAGCCAAAGCTAAATGAATATCTTTAGAGTAAAATATGACAGGTATAAAATGTTATGACCCTAAACTGGTAGCTGTAGAAACAAGGAAATAAACTAAGTCCCAAACAGATGGGCTTCTCACCACCCTGCGTCCATTTATGTGTTAGCATGTGTGTGTGTGTGTGTGTGTGCGTGTGTGTGTGTGTGTGTGTGCGTGTGTGTGTGTGTGTGTGTGCGTGTGTGTGTGTGTGTGTGTGCGTGTGTGTGTGTGTGTGTGTGCGTGTGTGTGTGTGTGTGTGTGTTTATAGCCTTGTTTTTAACATTCCATCTTTTGTGTACATGAACACAGTCTGTGTGTAATTATGTAATATTAGTGGAGAAATAGTTAACTCCTGCAGGAATGAGGATTCCCACCTTTGAAATCAAATCCCAATGTGTGCAATACATTTGTGCATGTGCATGTGTGTGTGTGTGTGTGTGTGTGTGTGTGTGTGTGTACGAATGTGTTCTTACATGGCTTCTTGGCAGGTAGAGCCAGCTGAGGGTTCAGATAAGGACTGTTGTCTGCATCTATCCGACGTTTATACTTCTGCCTTCCACCGCGAACCCTGTCCAGACGAACACCTGGAAACAACGCAGAGACATAATAAAGTGCGTGTTAATTACAGCCCTATCGCAGTCGTAAACCTTAAACAGTCACTTAGTACAAGTAAAAAAAAGTTTAGTTCATTAGCTCAGATCACTTTGTGTTTTAAAGGATGGGTTTCATGTGAAGTCAGTGGGTTTACACCAGCGGCAGTAACGTGGGGAGGCAGTGCCTTGCCGTTCTGAGTTTGGAAGATTCAAATCTCAAGTCTGGCCTTCCTGTGTGGGAAAAAACTTCATTCCACATTTCAAAAAAAACAGGCAGGGCAGGCTCATTAAAGACGAAATTGCCCGTAGGCGTGAATGTGCCCTGCGATTGGCTGGGGAAAATGCAGGTGTCCCCCACCTCTTCCCCAAACTCATCTGGGATGGACCGATATGAATCGGATATATGACGATATATATTCATCCAGATTCTCACTAACTTCTTGGCCCATGTACCCGTGTTATGTGGAAATTGATCTTGCAATCGGATGTGACTTTTGGCAGTACACGGACCTCGGATGTTTCAAATGTATGACAAAGGACACGATGTGAAGCGCGATTGTAAAGAAGTGTGAAAATGCAGTCCAGCTCGGTGTAGTTGAAGGCGCAATGTATCACAGTTTCAAAGTGCGAAAAATAAACAAAAAAAAAAAAACAAAACAAAAAAAAAAAACAACTGTAAAATCTTCCAGATGGTTGTTTTTGGTTTTTGGGGTAGAATATACACTAAAACATCCATCCCCCCAAAAAAATCTTTGATCTGCCCTTAATAATACAAACAGAAATCAATCTGAGACCAAAGTAACTCAACACATCTTTGGTAAATGGGCTGACTCTCTCACCGCTTCAGTTTCTGAAGCCAATTGCTATCTCTCCCTTTTCTCCCTCAGTCACCTTAATTAATTGACACAAAGGAGCCCTAATTTAATTAGGCTTGTCTCTCAGGGTATTGGATGCTGCCGTGGTTACCACTTAAAGATGGATAAGGAAGACATAGGTGTCATCTGCCCTGGAGCAAAAGAGGACACCATTTAGCCTAATATGATGCGATTAGTAGCAATATTTTTTGCAAGTACTATTTAGGAATGTGACGAATTGAGCCATTGTTTGGCTGATTTATTGCTTTGACTCAAAAGCAAAAATGTATGATTGGAGTGCTGCATGGTGACAATGAACACAGCTCACTTCACAACAGACAGGTTTGGTCGATAGTAAACAAGCTTTGAGATTTTTATTGCCTCTGACAGCTGAAGTTTACCGTCAAACTAAACATAAAAGAAAGAGAAATAAAACAACAACATTACTTCAAGACTGCTTATCTTAATGATATTTATATTTTTCTCATGAGAAAAATATAAACCAGTACACCATTGCTCAATTTTTTGGGATTATTTGAGTAGTGTGTCTGTTTCTCAGACGGTTTTGGACAGCCAAAGAATCACAGAGTTAAGCCTACCAAGATAACAAAATAAGACTTAATCATTTAAAAAAAGACTCAGACGCATTTGTTTAATTAAGACACTACTTTTTGTGTGTGCGTGTGCATAAAAGTAAGGAAGAGTGAAGGCATTTTAAGGATAATCCAGTGAAGATTACTTTCTTATTTTAACAAGCAAAACTAATCTGTGTAAGAGCTGCACTTGCTAGCTTGCAAACACATCCCCACGCACACTCACGCAAGGATTGGGAATTAGTGGATCATTGGCACAAAAGCAAGAGCCAAGAGAAAGAGAATCGAAACGGAAACGCCTCTTCTTCTTTTGCTCTTTGCCCCGGAGGACACGACATTCACAATTTCCCAAAAACAACTTGGAATGTGGACTCGTCAGACCACAGGACACTTTTCCACTTTGCATCAGTCCATTTTAGATGACCTTAGGTCATGGGAGGCCAGAGACATTTCTGGATGTTGATAAATGGCTTTTGCTTTGCAGCGTAGAGTTTGAAGTTGCATTTTTGGATGTATTTGCTGTATTTACTGACACTGGTTTTCTGAAGTGTTCCAAAGTCCAACATTGATGTCGGTTTTTGATGCAGTTCCACCTGAGGCATCGAAGGTCATGGGAATGTGTTGCGGCCGTAAAATTCTAAATTCATGATGATTTGCTAAAAACAATAAAGTTGATCAGTTTGAAAATTAAATAGTTTGATTCTGACATGTATTCAATTAAATATAGGTTGAAGAAGATTAGCAAGTCATTGTATTAAGCTTTTATTTGTGATGAACACAACGTCCCACCTTCATTGAAATTGGGTTTGTAATACTAACGGTAAAATCAACAAACTAAAAGCAACCATTTTCCAAAAAACAAACATCAACAACTAATAAAAACTATCAAGCCCACCCTAAAAACTAACTGAAACTAAATTAAAAAAAAAAAAAAAAAAGTCAAAATAAAAAGTAGAAGGAAAAATCGCAACATTTTGCAACCCAATATATCCAGAGAAAACCTTTTGTTCAAAATCCTGCTAAACTTGTTGTCAGGACGGGAAGAGCTTTTCCAAGAATTCACCCCCTAAAACATCAATGTTACAGTATGTTTGCCTGCGTGTGTGTGTGTGTGTGTGTGTGTGTGCGTGCGAGAAAGAGAGAGAGAGAGAGAGAGAGAGAGAGCGAGAGAGAGAGAGAGAGAGAGAGAGAGCGAGAGAGAGAGAGAGAGAGAGAGAGAGCGAGAGAGAGAGAGAGAGAGAGAGAGAGCGAGAGAGAGAGAGAGAGAGAGAGAGAGAGAGTAGACAGAAGGTCTGACAGTCTCGCTGCGGTGTGGGGGTTGCGGTGTCAGCAAACGGTCAAGAAACTCTTAACAGCAGGAGGTAAAACAACACTTTCATCACATGTACGTGCACTAAATGTCGACAGTGACCCGTAACACCCAAGCAGCTTGCTCAACCTCGCACCTGCCCGGACAAACGTTTAATGGCGTCTTGGAATAATGGTTTGCCGATGCGCGAGGTCTCAAAGAATTCGACACTTTTTTTTTTTTGCGGACTAACTGTGATGTGCAGAAGCGTTCCATTTCCCCTTCCCTCCCCCCACACCCCCCTTGTAACTTAAAAGGGCTGACAGTCACTTCATAAAGAGCCCTCTCTAACTACCTCATCTATTTTCCACCAAATTAACTCTCCCCCGGTGCTGATTAATGATCAAATCTAAATGAATCAAATTAAAAATTGAAAATTATATTTCCAAAGCCTACAAAAAAAAGGGACGGGGGGGAGACAAGGGCGGAGAGTGGAAGTGCTTTAGCTCATCCTAACAAATGAGCCTTCAAATCATAAAGAACGGCGGAGGGAAGGAGGGGGCAAAGAAAATGTAAGCTCGATGTAAGGGTGGTGGGCAAAAAAACGCAGGCGTGAGAGCACAATAAATGTGTTTATGGGAGAGAAATGGAAATAAAATGTTGCTAAAAGCTGATAAAGAAGAATGAAGAGAAGATTGCAATGGCCGAAATTAAAAAGAGAGTTTAGCATGGTTCGGGAGATGGATGGCCCAGTAAAAGGGAATAAGAAATTTCAAGGATGGAGAAATAAAGTGATGACGTTACCGCTCATAAACGAAAGGGTGAGAATAGTGAGAGTGAATTGGGACTAGATATAAGAAAACTGAACAAGTCCCCAGATGGACAAATCATGGGGCAATTCACTTCGACTTGACAGATCTCAGAAGTAAGGGTTAAACGACTAAAGATTTATTTATTTATTTGTTTATTTTTGTCATCGCTTGGCCTGTCATGATATTTACGATATCGACTTAATCACTTGATGGGAAAGAATGGACACCATAGTTTGTTTTTTTTGGACTCGAAAAAAAAGTCATTTACATGTGTGTGACTTTACATTCTCAACGTTCACTCGAACTGCTTCATTGCATCTTTCGTTCGTCAACCTGCTCATCTCTGTGCGAGTTGGCACTCACTCACTTGTACGTTAAACTGTTTGGTTCGCATGTGTCCCATTGGTTCACAGGAACACACAACTCTTTTTCTCATTTTTTATTATTATTATTATTAATATTATTTTATTTTGCAACAAAGATGACACTTCACTTCATGCTGCTGTCCAGTTCCGTGGTCCCGCTACTATGACAATTTTAAGACCAGCGGCGAACTGAATAGCCAAAGCAAATAAGGTTTCCCGCGATTTTGTACTCTCTGACTCTGATGTGAAAACTGTGTCGTCTTGTTAGCCGCGCATTTTGATGCTTCACAGTCCTCAAAATCAGCAGGACGGGTGAGTGAAAAGTCCTCGGTAAAATTGTCCACTTTGAAGGCGAGATGACGAAAACATGTAGTTAGCATTTATGTCGACCTCAAGCTTTAAAAAAAAAAAAACGACGATGTGAAACAGTGATGTTGACTTGCCGACTAATCTGTTGAAGCAATGTGACTTGAGAAAGAATGTTCATAATTTGCATCTTTTTGAAGGCTGATGACGCACCTTTGAAAAATGCGAGGAAGTAGACAGAAAGGATTGATTTCAATGGGCTGATGATGTAAGACAAGAAGTGTTGGGATTGGTGTTGGGAGTAAGGGCAAACGGATTGAGGCCTGACAAAAAGCCCAGTGAGAATGTGCTGACAGCGAGTGAGAGAGGTAGAGGTCAGGGTGACAGAAGACCTTACCTAACGCCGAGAGACAGAAAAAAAAAAATAAAGCCTGGGACTTTATTGAAAAGAAAAAGAAGATCTGCCCACACTGCAACCCAGTGTTGTAAAAATATGCTTGTTTCTGCTGAGGACATTCAAGATGACAGCATTTGCATTTTCTACATTGCTGCTGTAGTTTGACGAAAGGTAAAGGAGAGCTTGAATTAAAAGATAAAAATAAAAAGCTGATATTGAAATATTGAGGGCACACAGAGGGATATGTGTGTGTGTGTGTGTGTGTGTGTGTGAGAGTGTGTGTGTGTGTGTGTGTGTGTGTGTGTGTGTGTGTGTGTGTGTCATGCAGTGACTTTTTCATTTATTTATTTTTTTTGCTAACGATCAGACCAAATAT